GGTTGTTCTTGATGGCCTCAATAATATCCTCAAAATGGCTGGACCACGTTCCGAAGCTGTTTGCACAATGATCGAAGAATGCGGAGGTTTGATTGATTTCCGGTTTTTGCAATACTTGCCCTATTAATATATGTGCAATAACTGCTGACGTACTTAAAGGAAATACTGGTAAAGATGGAAGAAGTGGCAGAATGAGGAAAGAGGGTTTTTTTGAGTTAAGGAGCTTCTTAGCTCTTCCCAGCAAAAAGCTTTTGTGGTGATGTACAAAGGGAGATGTGGGAGAGCAGCAGGAAAAACACGGAGAAAACTGATTCTTAGTTTTTGACAAGTCCGCGCAGTGCCTACCGCACAATTTTAAGACTGCACGAAGTTGCTTAGGATGGAGAGGAATTGATTTATTTGGTAATGCAAAAGAAAAGGAAGGATTTCTTGAAACAGCAGCACCTACTTTTGTCACTATAAGCAAAATCACAAGGTTGCAGATGTGCAGCAGTGTTCGTTCTGAATTTTGTTTTGCTGATTTTGCAGGCCTGGACAAGATAGAGCATCTGCAGAATCACGAAAGTGAAGAGATTTACAAGTTGGCCTACGAGATCATCGATAGCTACTTCTCAGTAGAAACGGACGATGATGGGATCGCCGGCTCGGAGCATTTCTTCGAATCCACCCAGCAAAATGTGCCATCCGAGGGATTCTCGTTCCAGTAGTTACCACTCTGGTAGTTCTGTCTGTTTGAAAATACGATTATTGTCGTTCTGTATCGACCACCTTCACCCTTCTGACTTGTGCCCATTCTGTTGTCTTCGTCCTGACATTTTCTCGATGATATGTCAAACTCGAAACGCTGATATTATTCATAGAAAATCTACGAACACTAGTTAAGGACCGCTTCTGTTTTTCTTGTGTGTAACAATGCTTCCGCTTTTTATTCCTGGAGAGACCTTTGTTGCACGATTCATATGCTCTTCGGAGATTGCTGTCTTATTTTTCTCTTTTCTGAGATCTTAAGAGATCGGGATTTGCTTGGTATACACCTAGGCCTTCGAAAATAATCGAATTCCGTTTTAGCAATTACCTTTTTATTTTTTTTTTTCCTACTATGCCGTATTTCTGATGCCCGTATAGTTGAACAGACGGGATGTAAAGGGCGGGAATTTTGTGAATTTCGAGGATGGGTACTAAAAAGAATTGGTGTTTTCATCGAAGTTCTAGAATTTTTGGATTACCGTTGTTGTATAGTTTCCAGTAGGATGCTTCTCATTTCCCACTCTCTCCTCCGTTCCGTCAAAGGGGTATGCCTTTCTTGAATGTTTGATCGATTTGTTCGTTCT